CTGCAAGTATTTGAACCATAAAATTTTCAAATTACATTAAATGAAATGGAAAGGAAATAAGAGAATGACAAGTGAAATATTAAATAAAAAAATTTTTTTAATCAATATAAATAAAAAAGAAAATAATTAGTAATATAAGTATTTGAATTTATATACAGTTAGTAAATGTAGTTTAATTCTATTTTATTCAAGTGAAAAAGAAGTATTTAGGATATTGGATTAAAAAGTTTATACATTTAAAGAGAATTAGATATGTATTTAACGATTTAATTAAATAATATTTGTTCTTTCCGTGAAAAAAGAAAAAAATGAGAAGTAAGTAGTAATTTTAAAAAGGAAATTATATTTTTAAATGAATATAAAAAAGATATATTTTTTAATAAACTAGAGAGAATAGTTTATTTATTATAAAATAGGTAACCAGTTGTGTATTTATTGTCTAATCTAAAGGATAAATTTAAATATCAAAATCTAATGACTATAAATAGTTCTTTATCAGTACATAATTATTAATAGTCTGTACCATATATAACTGTATCCTAAGAAAATATTTACAAACTTGACATATCCACGAACTCTTAAGTTAAAACCTAAGTGCAAAACCTGTAACACTAATAGCACTGAACACCTGTAACATTAATAGCAACAAAAATATAAATTGATTGAAGGAGGTTGAGTGAAAAATGCAAATTTATTTATTTTTTAAAATTGTCATTGAATATATTATAGGGTGATTGAATTCATCTCGTCACTAGTACTTTTTATAGGTGACGACTATATGCTTACTCGTTTTTGACTTTTAGTGACGGATATCAAAGAAACTGACGTGGCGGCACTAACTCTTTCAATTAGGCATGGCACCAATTCATTTTGAATCGAAACCAAACCGTATTATAGATGAACTGGAACCGGGTTAAAATTACTGGTTTAAAATTTTGAACCGAAACTGACGGTTCAAAGACCAGTTAAGGTTCATGTGAATGTTAAAATTTGAACCTGAACCAGTGGTTTCGGTCCGATTCAAGTTCAGCATTTTAAAAATTTTGAACCGGCGGTTCAATGAACTGGCCATGCCTACATTCAATAATCTATATATGGTGCTTTAGCGACAAAGTGCCTTAAATGAATGACGGTTATATTTTAATTTATCTCAAACTCTTAAAGAACGGCGGAATACATCATTTAAACCCTGAACTTTAATAAAAAAAATTTTATAGTACTCTGAACTATAAAATCGACTTTTTGGCATCCTGAACTTCATTTTTTGTAATAATTTCACACATCCTTGAACTAAAAGTAGTAAATTTTAAAGGTAGAATATTAATTTGATATATGATTAATACAGCTTTTAGAACAATAATTTTACAGTTTTTAATTTTTAACAAGTGTTTAATCGGTATAATTTTATAAGTTGATGTGTTTAATGAGAGAAATAAAATACGTAATAGGTATAATTTTATAAATTGAACTATTCAACAAATCAAAATAAAAATTAAGGTTTTTTTTGAAAAATACAATGGTAAATTTATGTATTCCGCTCTTAAATAATAGAATAAAGAAGTGATAAGATTCGTTTAGTCTGAGACACTAATAAATACAAAACTTAGGAGTATATTTTAAAATTTTGTCTTCTAATTCTCTGTCTGTTTGTTAATAAAAGAACACAAATATCATTCATTATAATAGAAGCGTCTGAAGATTTGTGTTCTATTATTTCTGACCTTTGAATAATAATAATAATAATAATAATAATAATAATAATAATGAATTGTGATAATAATAATACTCATCTACGCCCATTCCTAAAATTCCTCGTGTCTGTTTGGTTAATAAAAGAACACAAATATCATCGAGAATGAGACATCTGAAGATTTGTGTTCTATTATTTCTGACCTTTGAATAATAATAATAATAATAATAATAATAATAATAATAATGAATTGTGATAATAATAATACTCATCTACGGATTAGATAATGACACGTAAGGATGGAAGTAGAATAGGCATCCGCAAATTTTAAGATATCTGCACTCATATCTATTTAAAATGTTATTATCTATATATGTCTCAAACTCGTTTAAATACTTATTTAAATATTTATATATGAACATGTTTAAAATTTTAATATCCGTTTCAATTTTTTGATTTGATTTTGGGGTTGACAATTTTATGGTTGGCTAACAACTTGATTTGGAATTTTTGGTCATATCAAGTGTGTGCAGTATTCTAACTATAAAAATAAATGTGTACAAATCCGACTTCTAAATTATATAAAGTAAAGTCCGATTGCTTGAAATCTAAAGAGAATCAATATATTCTCTTCAATTGAAATACAACTGTAATTACATTCAAATACAACTGTAAATTACATTCACTCATCAAGAAATTAATTATTTGGTTGAATTTTGTTCGGAGGATGGTTCATTTTCAAACTGCTCCTTTATGCTCTTTTTACTAGCTCATTTTTGCAGATCCGACAGTTTAATCATGTCATCCCTATTTGTGGCATGTTCTTTTCCATTGTCTCCCACGTCTTTACGTGAAAACTAAGATTTAAATGCTCGGCTGCTTTAAATTTGTCTCAACTGGTCAACATTCCTTATCACACACGCCATCTTATCTGTTTATTTTTTAATCTAATTAATAACATAAAAAATAAATTTAAATGAGTTAGAAATTAATAAACTATCCCTCATGAAGACACAGATTAAAAAACTCAAACCATAAAAAGTATAAAAAGGAGGAAGAAAACCCAAGCGTGCAACCTAAAGGGTGTTCAAAATATCTCGTGGTTTACCATAAAGAGGTAGTCAGATGGACCACAAAAACGTAATGTTAAAACCCTAAAACAATTAGCTGCTTTAATTTTCTCAACTGTCAACTTCCTTTCACCCTCTTATCTTTTATTTTTTAATTAATTAATTACATAAAATAAATTTAAATGAGTTAAAATTAATTAAATACCCATAAAACAATTTAAACTCAAACCTAAAATATAAAAGGTTAAACCCAAGCTCACTAAATGGGTTCAAAATATCGTGGTTTACAAAGAGGTCAGATACCACAAAACTAATGTAAAACCTAAAAATTACCTTCATTTAAAAGCCACTAGTATTAATAACGTGATTTGCACGTTAAAACTCGTTATTTCTACCCGTTTTTCAATTTTTTTCTAAATATAGTTTATTGATTTTTCTATAAAATAATAAAAATGATAATAAATTATTGAATAAAAATAAGCATATTAATTGGGTATTTTTTAGTCAATATTTTACTGTAAATATTAGTCAACAACTCCAACGCAAATCCAATTGAAGAAATTATTGAAGAGGAGGAACCAGATCCAGAAGCCATTGTTATAGAACCAGAGCAATTGCAAGAGGAGCCAAAGCCTATGAAAAACCAGATAGATCTCTTTTCGCAAACTAAGAAACCTTCAGAAAGAGGTTTTAAATATTCTATCAAGATTGTCATTTGCATCAGCAGCCTGCATTAAGAAAAGCTGAAAAGAGGTAGGCATGCAGTCAAATCTTCTCAAGGCCTAAGCTTGCCTCTACTCTCTCTCTCAACCCTTCCCTCCATGTAAGTTTTCTACTTATTGTTAAAAAACCCACGTAGACTAGATAGCAAATCCATAAAGAGCATATAAAAGTGGCAAGCTAGCTAACTAATTAGTCGGTATTAATCTTTTAGCATTGATTGGTCCGTGGGTTCTAACCTCTCACCCCTTTCACTTCTACTTCACTCATTGTGAATATTGGAAAATTAACTTTCTTTGAAGAGAGAAAAGAGAGGGGTAATGGAGAAGAAGAGAATGGGTTTGTGGCTTTCATATTGTCTAAGGATATTTTCATTTTTTCAGTATGACTTAATGGAAGAAACCCTCAAAATTAGACGAAAGGACTATTTATATTGACGAATACAAATCTCAGGGATGTTTTGGATATTCGCCTAAAAGGTAGGGACCAACCTCAAGGATTAAATAATTAATTTTCCTTAAGGAAAAGAAATTTATGTTATTAAATTATTAATCAGCACATTGATTGTAAAAATTAAAATTTCATCAATGTAACATTTAAATGAATAAACTCTAATAGAAAGTTTTTCAAATTTTTATTTTAAAAATTTTTATAATTGTCACATGGTGATATAAAAAAGAAAAACAAAAGGATGAAAATACTTTTTTATTTGCAATTCCATATTTACTTGCATTTGAGGATGCTATTATGCAAAAGGTTGAAATTACAATAAAATCAACAAAAATATCAAAATTGAGTCAAATTGTAAAAGCTTTCAAAATTCAGGGTATTCTAATATATTATGCCTTTTTAAATTTTTTTTTTTCTATTTTCTTTATTAGGTACATATAGCATTTACATTATTATTTTAAATATTGGGACAATTAGTAAAATGAGTTTGTGTATTTAATTCAATGTGCTGTATAATCGATTTTACAATGAAAATAAAAAAATTTTAAAAATTATTTCTATTATATTCTATTTTTTCAGTGTATATATGATTAGAAATATCAATATTTCAATATAAAATAGTTTTTTCAACAAGTAAGAAATCCATAAAATCTCATATACTGTAGGGGCCATACTCCTATACTCAGCCTCCACAGATGATATCCAAACTGGAGCTTGGTTTTTAGTCTTCCAAGAAACCAAAGCATCTCCCAAAAATATACAAAAACCAGTTAAAGATCATCGAGAGAAAACACAGGAAGCCCAATCCGCATCACAAAATGCCTTTAATTGAAAAGATTTTGCAGTAGGATAAAACAAACCCTCAGATAGAGAAGATTTAAGATATCTTATAACATGCAAAGCATCATCTGAATGGGGCTGTCTAGGAGTAGACGTAATTGGCTCAGATGTTGCACATCGTAGCTAATATTTGGCCTGGTAAAATTGATGTACAACAATTTACGAATGAGTCGTCTGTATTGATCAGGATCAGAAAATAGAGAACCATCATCCATAGAAGTTTAAGTCCTTTAGACAAAGGAGGCTGGCTTAGAATCAGATAGACCACACTCAGTAAGAGTATCAAGGATAAATTTCCTTTGACTAATAAAAGTTTCAGAATCAGACCTGGCTACTTCTAAACCCAAGAAGTATTTAAGATAACCAAGATCCTTAGTAGTGAATTTAGCATCAAAAGCAAGTTTAACTGCAGAAATAGCTTCAGAATCTATACCAGTAATCAAAACATCATCCACATATACTAATAAAGCCAAAAAAAGATCACCAAAAGACATAATAAAGAGACAATGATCGTTAACAGATTGAGTGAAGCCCAAAGTAAGCAAAAAGGAAGTGAATTCTAGATTCCACTGTCTAGATGCTTGTTTCAAACAATAAAGAGATTTTTTAAGAAGACAAACCTGACCAGGTTTAGACCTCTTCATCCAAAAACCCATAAAGGAAGGCATTATTGATATCCAATTAAGATAGGGCATGCTTTGGTAGTTGCAATAGCAATAAAGAGCCTAAAAGTGACTAATTTGGGATTATAGGCAATGGCAGCAACACTTTTCTCTTTAAAGAGCTTGAACATCTCTTGATGTAGGGTATTACCCAAGGTAGAATCCCATTCCTCATATTGTGAAGCAGAAGGTGAAGTAAAATTCTCCAAAGGTGTGAAATGCTCTTTATTGGTGTATTGACAGCAACCACCAATTTCTTGGAACCAGAGTATCACTTCCCTGTGTTGCCTTTTTACCAGTCAGGAAAACCAATGACCTTAAAGCAGTGATCCTTAGGGTCACCAAATCTATTACAAACTTCACAATGAGTAGTGAGTTTAAAACAATTTTCCTTCAAATGACCTGGTTTATGACAATAGTCACAAAATGCTTTATTTGTAGTAATTCTAGATGAATCAGACTTGAAGGATGATTGATGTTTAGCTAGTAAAGCTATTGAAGAACCACGTTCTACAAAATTGAATACCACAAGCCTCTGTGACTCAACTTGAAGTATCATAGAATTAGCCTTGTTTATAGTAGGAAAAGGATCAAGTAAAAGCAACTGATTTCTAACTTGATCATATCCATCATGTAATCCCATGAGAAATTGCATTAGTCTAGTTCTATTTATGATATCAACTATAGCCTTAGAAGCTCCACATGTACAAGCAGGCAAAGGATCAATAGAAGCTAATTCATCCCAAAGCTTCTTCAACTTCGTGTAATAAACTGAGACAGAATCATTCTCCTGAGAAATAGATGCTATTTTTCTCTGAATTTGATAAATCAAAGGCCCATCACTTTCCCCAAGTCTCTCTTTGATTTCACTCCATAGCTCATGTGCAGTAGTGGTATACAAGAAGGCTTCAACTAAATCTTTAGAAATAACATTTAGAATCCACGACGTGACCATATAATCATAACATTGTCATTCATCAAATTGATCTGAATCCTCATCAGGCATCTTAACTTTCCCATCTATAAACCCTAATTTGCACTTAGCCCCCAACGCAATCTTCATAGCTCTACTCCAAGTGCGAAAATTAGATCCATTCAAAGGTGCAGTTAAGGGTGGCCATATTACGGTTTCGGGAACCGGAACCGTCGGTTCGAACCAGTCCCTAACCGTAACCGGAACTGGTGGGAACCAGAACCGGAACCGGAGATTTCCAGTTCGGTTCCGGTTCTAGATTTCTGGAACCGAAACCGGCCGTTCCAAAAAACCGGTCGGAACCGAATTGGAACCGCCGGTTCTCCAGCCGGTTAGAACCGCCGGAACCAGCGGTTCTAGCTGTTAGAAACTGTCAGTTTTGTATTTTTTTTAAAAAAATTTTATTGTGAAATCTCTTAATTACCCCTCCCAACAATCATAAACGGCTACATAACGGCTAGTTTCAAGGGGATTTTTGGAAAAATTAAACCGTAACCGGAGGACTGGGTGGGGAGACAAACAACAAGAACCTGAGGAAAAGAGACTCCACGAGATTATCCAAAGTTCGGGGAATTTCCTCGCCAGAATGTTTCGTTAAGTAATTTTAAATGTATACGCGGCGAGATAGGGACACTTTTTCGTGGAAAGGACCGCGGTTCGCGTAGGAAACAGAGCGAGCACCCTGCGTTCACAGCGGGAGGCTGCCCAATGCTGTTATAGGTTTTGGGCATCCAGAATGGACACGGGACGGGATGATCTGTAGCGGTTACCGTGGGTCTGCACTATCGAGGTTTTGTGCATGCAATAGATATTATGAATATAAGCGAGAGAAAATCAAAATGTAAACTTTTCACAGAACTAGGCAGGTCGAAGGACCACGATCTCAGAGAAACATGGGGGTCGGAAACCATTGCCCAGGGTCTATGGGTGGATCATGGATTACTGAGGGATGACCGCCGGTTCGTTCTATCTCTGAGGTAGGTCCGTTATAGCAGATGAGCAAGAAGCCACGAGAGTTAGACAAAGACAGTGACCGGAACCTAGGCGGTTGCTCACTGTTAGAAACCATGTTCGAGGAGTTCTTGTTAGTTTTTTCTGAAAAAAAAATTTTATTGTGAAATCTCTTATTACGCCCTACCAACAATCATAAACGGCTACATAACGGGCTAGTTTCAAGGGGGAATTTTCTGGAAAAAAAGTAATCTTTGTTTGAATTTATTATATAATTACCATCATTTCATCATTTTACAAATTCATCACAAAAAAGGATGTCTAGCTACCTCTCTGAACTTAAACTCGACGTCTACAATAAGACTACAAACTCTATCTTATATTTATTCTTCTCTACTCTTAATTATATCCTTCGTCAAACTCTAACAACTCTCTTATTAAGTTATCATACAAAATTGATATTTATTATATATTTTCACAAAATTATATTCTTATTATTCATATAATTTGGCAAGTGGATCGGGAAACTCAAATTCGGGTAAGAGGGCAAGGGATAAAGATCACGGGAGAAACGCAATATTCTCTATCCGCTTACAAACGACATATCTGTTGATTTCAACTCCCACCACATATTTAATTCTTGAGGGATATCCAAAGTTGAAAATTTGGAAAAATTCAAACTCAATAGAATCTGAAATTTATAATGAAGCAATTACTAAAGAAGAGTGAAAAAGCAAGACGCAACGAGCAGCAAATTGATGCTGGCAAAGAAAGACAAAGTTTTCCGACCATTATTCGCCATTCATTCACTGAAAAATTCCAAAAGGGTGAGGAAAAGGTGAACGATGTAATTGCAGATTATTGTGAAAACTCTTATAAAATTTAAAAACAAAGTCGCAGCGGGACCTATGGATCCTTTTTGGAGAAGCATTTGGAGACAAAACATTCAAAACAAGAAAAAGGAATTGCATCGGCCTCGAACACCAAAATTTCGGTACGCATCTTCTAAAAACCTTTCTTTAATTTCAATATTCCTGAAAAAAATACAAAAGAAGGAATTAGCAAAAATGATTTCTATGGACATATTAGCTTTTAGTTTTTGGTGAGACAAAGATAGTTTTACCCTAATTAGTTGTCAGAGAAAAGCTTTAAATTCTACTTCAGCTAATAGAGATGGCCAAGAAATAACTTGCTAGAAATGAACCTTAATTCCTTATTAATAGAAGGACGCAAGAAAATAAGGAAATTGAGAGCTTTTAATTTCGTCCAAGGTTGAAAAATTCGTTGTTTCAAGATTGTTGTGGGAATATTTGGATGTGATCCTTGGACACAAAGTGCCATTCTAATATGGGCAATTGACATGTCCATTGGATTGATGATGAAATGAAAATTACAATAAAAAAAGAATTAAGTTGCTTTATCGTGTTTTTGATGAGTAGAAACTAACTACTGTAAGAAAATATTTATAGAAAGTTCGTTTCATTTAAGAAATTGAATTTGAACAAAGAAATTTTTTTCAATATCATTTTGAGTATATGCTTCTTGCCTAATTGAGCTAATATATTAATAAACTTATAAAAAATAATTCTGCTGGAAGCCAAAAAATATTGGTGAGAAATTGTTATCATATAAGAAGAATGTGCATGCCTAATGTTGTTAAAATTTAATGTGGTACGAGCGAGATGGTTTAAAACTTCTGAAATCTTTGATTCTCCATTAAAAAAACTAATTCAATATGTTATATGTGGGACAATCCCCAAAGTGATTGAAAAGTGTAGCCTAAATTACTTAAAAAGAATAATAATAAAAGACCTATAAACGTTTTCCAAGGGATGTCCCAACTCCGTTGGAATTCACAACATATAATTACTAAACCGAGTCTTTTTCTTATAAAGGAATTATTTATGCTTTGTTGTTACTAATAAAAGTTGAAGATATTAATTTATATAATACACAAAATGGGAATATTTGTGCCAAAGTTTAGATTATTTTGTAAAAAAATTTTTAAATGATGCTACCGTATAAAAATTTAGTAGGGTTTGTCAGTTATTCCACAGTCTCATTTAATTTTTACCTAACTGGTAAGTAAATATTGTTAAGTGCAGCGCTCCATAGAAATTTGAAACCCATAGTTGCTATAAATTAAAAGGAAATTGTTATTTTCAAAATGAAAAAAAATGTTTTCTTATGTTTAAAAATATATGCCACCGCCTTTATATGTGTTACTAAGTGCAATTTGCATCCTAGATGTAAAAAATTGATGTACTTTTATTGAAAAATTTAGACTATTTTATAGTGAAGTATTGAAATCTAATAGTAGGAAGATAATGTTTTAATATAAAGGCAGTATTGCATGAAAGTTAAACAAAATTATTGATGCAATTATATATGAATTTGTTCAACATTTCTAGTATCATTGTACTCCTAATTATTTTCAATCTAATAATTCAAGTCAATTTCCAACAACTCAAGTAAAGATGGTGTTCGTGTACTCAGATCGCGCAAAATAAGTAGTTGAGCCTACGCAGTAGCAGAAGTGACAGTTAAATACGGACTGCAAAGGGAATCCAGTTCGTTTTTCCTTGGAATTTGATAATTATAAAACCCACTACTGTCTTTTTGAGTTTGGTTGATGGATTATTGCAAGCTACTGGATTTTACCAATTTTAGACTCTAGTGGATGTCGTCAACGCCAATACTATTTATCCAAATACTGTTCTTTATTGGCAAAAAACCATCAGTTTTAGGACGTAGGACTCCGCGGAGGAGAGTCTATCCAGCGATATTGTGGTTGAACAGAGCTATTTAGGATCAGAGGAAGGAAAATACTTGAGTGAAACACTGAATTGCTCGTATAAATGGACAAACTTCCGATCAATTAAAAAAGCACTAATGTCCATTGCGTGGAGATTGGAGCTAAGCCGAACCTCAGAGAGCACAAGAAAAATCTAAAAAAGAAATGAAAGATTTCAATATGTATTTATACGCTGGGGTGCCTCAACGGAACATCAAACCGTGGTGGTGCAAAATAGCGATTATAGGGGGTTAAAAATGTGAAATTGTTTTGGTAATAAGGTTAAGCTGTTAAAGACGTGAACGAGTTGGGCTTTGATTTCCTCGTATAACCACAAGGATTTATACGATGGGTCCTCAACGGGAACATCAACCGGTGGTGCAAATAGCGATTAAGGTAAAATGGGTGAAATTGGTATAAGGTAAGTAAGAACTACATTGGCTTTGATTCCTCTAAACCCCAAGAGGATACGTAGGCAACTTAATTTTTTTTTAAAAAAAAATTAATTTCAAGCCCTTTTTTTTTAAATTATGTTCAAACTTTTTAAAAAAAAAATTTAGTTGAAGAATTTTTTAAAAAAATAATTATGTTCTAAGTCTTTAAAAAAATAAATTTAATTGAAGTATTTTTTAATTTCTTTAAAAAAATAAATTTAATTGAAGTATTTTTAAATTTCTTTGGTGTATTTTTTTTACAAATAACTTTCACAAATTTATTAAATTTTGAAAACCGGTCTTCAAAATTTAAAATTTAAAATTATGCCATTCGCCGAAAAATCGATCAGAACTGTCGGTTTTGTCACCGTACCGGAACCGGAACCGGAACTTTTCGGTTCGATTCCGGTTCCAATTTTTTTGGAACCGGAACTGCCGGTTCCGAAACCGTGGCCACCCTTAGGTGCAGTGACTAGGATCATACTTGGATGATAAGAAGATCGAAGATACAAAGGATCTTTATTGTTGTAATTGCGCTTTTGTTCAACACCGCATCTCTCGTACCAGAAATTTCAGGTGTATTCTCGCTAGCTTCTTCCAACGCTAAGTTTATGCTCGAAATCAATAGTCAATCAAGATCTAGAAATGAATTTCAAGAAGAAACCCTAACAAAATTGATCGATTGCAAGCTCTGGTACCATGATAATGGAACTTGCTAGAAGAGAATAGAAAGCAATCGAGCGAGAAAGGGAGAGAATAAAATGTGATTTGTATCTTATTCATTGTGTGTATTGTATCAATTACAAGAATAAGCTAACAGTCTTATTTATAGTTTGTACACATGAGCAATAATAAAATAACATAACTTATACAATACTTCAACATAGTACCGCACAAAACTTTCTAAGAAGATTTAGTTTTTTAGAGCCGCGGGTTAATTTCACCGAAAGCAAAATGAACTCAATAGATAATCACTTATATGGTATCAACTTCAATTTCTATCTTAAAAATATTTAAATTTATATTTTTATAATAATAAAATGCTTTTTGATACACTTGATTTTTTTTGTTGGTCGGAATGCCACGTATTTAACACGTGACTTTTTTTAAATGAAAATTCATTTAAAAAATTATTTTCTCCTCCACCTCAAATGACCCTCATCCTCTCTCTCTCTCTCTCTCTAACCTTCTGCAACTAATTTCTCTCTCTTCTAAAACTTAATTCTTTAATTCCTTAATTCTTTTTCTCTTCACTCTCACCTACTCCCTTCTACATACCCCATCACCATTAATGATGTTATAGTCGCCATTGTTATCGTTACCTGAAAATGCATGTTAGCTTCGTAAGAAAATAGGTGCTCAAATCACCAAAAGCTTCACCAACGTTCTTCAAGCAAGCTCATAGACTCGAAATAATCATCACATCTATTAATAATTCCATCAGAAGATATTAAACCAAAGAAGACAAAATCACCGCTAGAAACACTATAAGGTGAATTTTCAATTTTTTAGTCTCACAAAAATTAAATTTATGTAGATTATAAACTGCAAATTATCATAAAAGATTTCTGATTTCTAATGACACCATTGCCAAAAATCCCTAATTTTCTACTAAACTCAAAAACCCATTTACAACAAAAATAATCGAATTCAATCTTCGAATAAATATCCATTAAGATACTGAAACAAACACATCCTAATCAAAATCAATTTTCATCGCATGGTCAAAATTAAACTTTGTTGATTGGGGATAAGCAATCGAAAATAGAATTTCAGATCTCGTTATCTAAGATATCTATTAAAAGGACTTTTTTTCGACCTTTTGATTTTTGCAGGTTTTAGAATCTCGTTCCTTGAGAACAATGGTAGCAGCGCTGACTCTTGTGTAGTAGCGATAACAAGCCAGGTCTTTTCAACCTCCTCCATCGCTCCAACTCGGTAATTCAATTTCTTTTTCTTTTGAAGATGGAGAGATTGAAGAGAGAGAAACTGGAGTGGAAAAGGATAGGTTGAAGAGAGAGAAAATGGGTTAAAGATGGAGAGATGAAGAGAGAGAAAATAGGTTGAAGACGGATAGGTTTGAGAGAGAGAAAATGGATTTATAGAAGGGGAGAGAGAGAAAGAGAGGGAGGGAGGGGTGAGGGTAGGGGTGGCCATATCGGTTCGAACCGGTCCGGAACCGTAACCGAAACCGGGCCGAACCGGAACTGGAATCGGAGATTTTCGATTCGGTTTTGGTTTCAAATTTTCTGAAACCAGAATCGGCGGTTCCAGAGAATCGGTCGGAACCGGACTGGAACCGCCGGTTCCCCAGCCGGTTTGAACCGATTAGAACCGGCGATTCTAGCCGTTATAAACTGTTTGAAGACGGATAGGTTTGAGAGAGAGAAAATGGATTTATAGAAGGGGAGAGAGAGAAAGAGAGGGAGGGAGGGGTGAGGGTAGGGGTGGCCATATCGGTTCGAACCGGTCCGGAACCGTAACCGAAACCGGGCCGAACCGGAACTGGAATCGGAGATTTTCGATTCGGTTTTGGTTTCAAATTTTCTGAAACCAGAATCGGCGGTTCCAGAGAATCGGTCGGAACCGGACTGGAACCGCCGGTTCCCCAGCCGGTTTGAACCGATTAGAACCGGCGATTCTAGCCGTTATAAACTGTGCCGCGTTCTGAACCGATTAGACAACCTGGCGATTCAGCCGTTTATAAACTGTCAGGACCAGTTTTTTTTTCTTAATTTTATTGTGAAATCTCTTAATTTCCCCCTCCCAACAGCCATAAACGGCCTATTATAACGGCATAGCTTTCAAATTGGTATTTTTTCGAAAAAAAATTTTTGGGATTATTATAAATACCTCATTTTATTTTACCAAAATTCATTACAAAAAAAAATCTTCAAAACTCTCTCTAATTACCTCTCTCTACCAATAATACTAACACCTCTACAAAATCTATTTACTTCATTTATTCTTCTCTACTCTACCAATTTCTCTTTATTAAGTTATTATTCTCTTCTAATTTTTTTTTTATTTCAATTTTCCAAATTATATCTTTTATTATCATACTAATGGGCAAGCGGAGGACAATTCAAATTCGGGTAAGGGCAAGGAAAGATGGGAGAAACACAAATATTCATATCTAATCCCTACAACGACATCTATGATTTCACTCCCAAACAATTTAATTTTTGAGGGGATATCCAAATGAAAATTTGGAAATTTCTAACTCAAGACATCTGAATTTAATGAGCAATCTACCGACAGAAGAGGAAGAGCAAGCAAAGCAACGGAGCCACAAATTGTTGGAAGGAGCAAGTACCAAAGTTTTACCGACATATTCGGCCATTCCATTTCACGAAAAAATTCAAAGCGTTGAAGGAAAATGTTACTATTTGTAATTTGCAATTATCTGGGAACAATCTTTTATAAATTTAAACAAGCGGCGGCGCTATGGATCATTTGGGAAGCATTTGGAGACAAAACATTCAAACAAAAATAGGAGTTGATCCCGGCTCTCAAACACAAATCCGGGTACCGCATCTTCTAACCTTTCTTTATTTTCAATATTCTGGACAAAAAAACATACAAAAAGAAGAATTAGCAAAAAAAATGACTTTCTAATGGAACATTTAAGCTTTTTAGTTTTTGGTACCAAAAGTAGGTTTTTATAATTATTGTCAAAAAAGCTTTTAAATTCCTTCAGCTAAAAAGAGTTACAAGAAGGAAATACTGTTAAAACGAACTTATTTATTTCTTTATATAATAAAGGAAAAAAAAAGAGTTAACAGCTTCTTATTTTTTTCTTCAAACTGAAAAATTCGTTTTGTTTCAATTTGGTTGTGACTATATGCGGAGTTGATCTGGCAACATGCATTCTTATCATGGGTATTTCTGTTTTGTGATTCAATTCTTGGAACGTGATTCAATTATTGCTTTTTTTGTGTTTCTTGCATTTGATAAGCATACTGGCAAATAATATTTTTTATAATATACATTTGTTTCAATTTTAGCATGAACTATTAACGTTGACCAAAAAAAAAATTTTCTTCAATTCATTTGATTAATGCTTCTTGCAAATACTTAAATCAATTATTGAACTTTAAAAAAAATTTGTTGAAACCAAATATGCGTGACAAAATTTTTTCATCATAAAAGATGTGCATTGCCATGTTTTTCAAAATTTATGTGTACAACGATGGTTTCAAAAAATTTCCTGAATCTTTTTATTCTCCAATTTTAAAAAAGCTATTTCATATTTCATGGGGACATCCCCAGTGATGAAAAGTTTGGCTAACATTTTGGTAAAAGGAGAAAATAAATAAACAAGACCAAAACGTTTTCCAATGGATGTCCCCAAACTCGTGGATTCAACATATTGAATTAGCTAAACGGAGTCTTTTTTCTACTACTAAAGGAAATCTATTATGCTTTTTTTTGTTTACTAATAACTATTGAAGATATTAATTTATATCCACAAAAATTTTGCGGAGATTCTGCAAAAAAATTTTAGATATTTTTAAAAATTTTTAATGCATGCTACCTAAAATTTAGTGGGGTTTTTTATTATCCAACATTCCTCATTTATTTTTTTCACCATATGTGTATTTAATATTTGTTAGTGGCACTCCAACAATTTGAAAATGATTTGATTTTTATTTAAAAGATTGTCATTTTATATGAAAAAAAAAATCGGTATCTTATTCTTAAAAATATACCACCCTTTTATCTTTTGTTGCCTATTGTATTTGATCCTAGATCCGTAAAAATTTGATCTGTTTTATGTTATTTATTTGAACTATTTATTATGAAGTACTTAAAATCTCTGATTGTAGAAGCGATAATTTAATATAAATGCTTTTTAGTTTAATGCCATGAAGTTACAACCAAAAATATTATGCCAACTTATACTACATGAATTTTTTTGTTCAAGTTTTCTAGTTCCATCTACTTTCTACTCTCTTCTCAATCTAATATTCAAACAATTCCAACACAAAGCGGTAAGTGGTGTTTGGTGTTGCTCAACAAGTTTTACTACAAAGACACAAAAAGAACCAAAAAGGGAATCCAGTTTTTTTTTCTGAATTTGATTAATTATCTAACCCCAACTTTCTTTTTGAGTTTTGGTATTGATTTATGGCAAATTTACTGATTTTTCCAATTCTTAGATCTTCGGTTGGCAGTCGTTCACGGCAAATACTTCCAAATTCTTTCTTTACTTGCCAAACAAACAAGTTTTAGCAGCTCCGGTCTCCACTGTTGCGGCTTGAAAACAAGGCTCTTTAGTCAATGGACGGGAAAAACATTACCTTTGATTGAAACCACGATCTCGTATCGGACACCCCGATTCATTAGACAGCACAGATCATGCCAGTGGACTGGATTGGGACCAAGCGCCGGAACTAAGAGCCCAAGAAAAATCCAAAAGAAAATGAACGATCTATATGATTTTATTACCGATGGGGTCCTCAATACGGGAACATCAACCGGCTGGTTGCAACAATTTAGCGAATTAAGGTAAAAGCGGGGTAAAATCTGGGTATAAGGCGGTACAAGTAAGAACTACCGTCGGGCTCTTTGATTTCTCTAACAACCCTAAGAGGATACCGTTAGGCAACTTAATTTTTTTTTTTTTTAAAAAAAAACATTAAGTTCCAAGCCCCTTTTTTTTTTTTTTTAAAAATTATGTTTCAAACTTTTTTAAACAAAAAAATAAATTCACGTTGGAAATTTAAAAAAAAAAAAATTATGTTCAAGTCTTTTAAAAAAATAAATTTAATTTGAAGTATTTTTTTTAACTTTTTAGGTTGTATTTTTTAATTTTTATGTTTCAAATAATTTTTTTTTTTAACAATCGGTTTTCAAAAACTTCTTACAAATTCTAAAATTATACGATTCGCCGTTTTTATGTTCAAATAATTTTTTTTTTAAATCGGTCTTCAAAATTTAAAATTTAAAATTATACGATTCGCCGGAAAACCGATCGGAACCATCGGTTTTGTCACTGGACCGAAACCGGAACCGGAACCGGATCTTTTCAGTTCGGTTCCGGTTCCAGTTTTTCTAGAACCGGAACTGTGGCCACCTTTAGGTGAGGGTGAAGATTGACGCTGAGATAGAGGCTAGAATAATTTTTTAAATGAATTTTGGTTTAGAAAAAGTCACGTGTTAACTAAGTAGCATTCCGGTTAATGAAAAACTTCAATTGCTTCAAAATGAATTTTATTATACAAAAATATAAGATTATGTATTTTTAAGTTTAAAATTGAAGTTGTACCCCATTAAATGATTACCCATATAATTCAAACCGTTCCAATGAAATTAACTTTAGAGTCGCACTAATAAAATGGATTGGGTCTAACTCACTCTTCATGTATTTTTATAAGAGGTGACACAGGACATTAAAGCAAATAGACTCTGATACCATGTTAATAAATGGATCGGGCTAAACTCACTGTCCAGCTTTGACGCAAGTTATTTATAGTTTTTTTTAATGTAATATATTAGGATTTCATTAAAAACTTCAAAACAATACAAATAATACAGGGAGGACATGATTCCTCTCCTGAAGATCAAACATATAACAAATTTTCAATTAAGTTTAGATATTCCTAATACCTAAAATTGTGATTATAATAAATTTTCACAGACACTCTTACTCTAATTTAGAAAATATTAAGATCTTATTTTCAAGGAACCAACATTAATACTCTCTCTTTTAGTAATATTAGGTTTTTATGAGATGCATTGCACGTTGACTTTACTCATTATATACTCATTTTGACTCGTTTAATTTTTTATTTATATAATATTAAAGTACAAGTTCTTATTTAGATTAAAATAAATATAATGATTAATTTATATTGCACTTTATTTATATAATTAATATTTTTTATTACATGCCTTGCATTCTAACATTTAATTGAAAAGAAAATAATATTTATTTTTT